AAATTGTTCAATTTATATATCATTATTATGGGTAAAATTAGACACAACCTGACTGTGTCTACCCAATGCCATTTTATGTAGCTGGATTTCTATTTTATGCTTTTCTTTGGATTTCAAAGGAAAACCAATGTCTTTTTACAAAGTAAATAGAGGCTTCCTGGATAATGTTTTTTTTTTTTTTTTTTTTTTTTTTTTTTTTTTTTTTTAACCAATTCTCAATCAGTCTTGTGACTTTTGCAACTTGTAGGACTTATTTTCCTCACAAGAAGGAAAACATACCAACTGAGGCAAAGATGCACCAGTGACAGAGAGTGTACTTTTCACGCAGTCAATTTCTTGACATCCGTATTTTTGTGAATAATTTGAAGTGCTGTGTTTACATAAATACATGAATCAACTGAAGGATGCTGTATTTGTGGAGTTTGCCCATGTAATCAGATGGAGAGGATGGTCGGGGCCTGTATGATGGTTTCCAGTAGCCCCCGCCCCCTGATAGTCCCACACTGCAGAGTCCCTCCCATAACATGTGGATAGGCTCTAGAGCAGTGGTTCTCAACCTTCCTAATACTTCAACCCTTTAATACAGTTCCCACGTTGTGATGATCCTCAACCATGAAATTCTTTTTGTTGCTACTCCATAACTGTAATTTTGTTACTATTATGAATTATAATATAAACAGCTGTGTTTTCCAATGGTGCTGGGGTCATGACCCACAGGTTGAGAATAAGTGATCTGGAGGCTCCTTTGATAGGTAGAATGTGGCAGAAATTAAAGGATGTTCTGAGGTTGGAACGCGAATTCCAACATGGCCCTCCTGCCTTTCCATCCTCTTCCCTTCTCTTCTCTCTTTCCAGAACTGTTGGGTGAGGAAACCCGAGGACACTCGGACAGCTTGTGGATAGCGTCTCAAGACAGGACTGAGTCTCCTGCCAACAGCCACTGGAGTGAACTTGGAGGCAGATTCTGCAGCTCTGGGTAAGGGTTGAGATGGCTGTGGCTGCCTCCTGCAGCTTGCCTCTGGAGACCCTGAGCCAGGGGCACCTGGCTAAGTCTTACCCAGGTTCCTGACTCACACACCAGGGCTTGGTGTTTGGGGTAACTCATTATTCAGCAAAAGATGCACCAATGCAACCAACAGTTTTTGTAACTGTATAGCTAAAGTGAGTTTAGAAGCTAAATTTTGACCTCATTTGTTGAAAGAGCCATAAAAAAAATCACAGAACTGAAACTGTCTACTTCTCTCTCTCTTTGAGAATAAACAGCTATAATTATAGTTGAAACAGGACATTGTAGAAATTGTCATAGGGATTAACACTAATTAGAAGCAACAGGCATTTTGTGAAGTTTAGCCTTCATCTTACAATAAACATTCATTTCTTGATAACATACTTTTTAATGAGTTGTGTGTGTGTGTGTGTGTGTGTGTGTGTACAGTTTAAGCTAGTGTTTGATCAGATTTTCATTATTGGTTGATGGAGGGAGGAACTGGAGTATTTATATACACCTAAAAAAACGGGTTATAGGGCCAATGACATGGTTCAGAGGGTAAAGGCCACATGATGGAAGGAGAGAAGTGACTTCATAACATTGTTCTCTGACCTCCATTCATATGCTGTGGCGCGTGCGCGCACGCGCACACACACACACACACACACACAAATGTAATAAAAAGAGCTTATACACTAAAATTAATAAGATATTTGCCCTTAGCATTTGTGTGTGTGTGTGTGTGTGTGTGTGTGTGTGTGTGTGTGTACTTTACACAATTAAAAATACGGTTTGGTCAAAGAATAAATAAACAATATTTTTAAAATATGGCTCTCTGTTATTGGCCTCTGGGAACAATTTTTTCATAGTGCTGGGAGATTGAACCCAGGGCCCCGCACACACTGTGCTTCCTTGGCCCAACAACAAAATAACTGGATATAACTCTGAGTCTCCTTATATGGGTGAAACATCTCATTACAGCTCTAATTTTTAAAGGTCTGACAAGCAATTATCCTAACAAATGGTGCAGACATTTTTGGCTTTTCTAGAAATTGAAAGGTGAACATTCTCATTTCCTTAATGGCAACAAAGCATTTCTTACTATTATCACAAACATGCTGAACACTATGTTATGGACTTTTATAAATCATGTCACCTTAAAAATTAACTGAGCATCGCCACAATAAAGAAGGAAAACATTCTTTGGGAGTGGTGTATCACAAGGCAACTAAATTACTCAACTAAAACCTCAGGGCTTAGGGGTTGGAGACAGGACCTAAAGGTTAGGATACCTCTTTGCTCTTCCAGAGCTACATCTCAGTTCCTATTACTGATTTCAAACATTCTTTAATTATGTTGGGTTGTCAAGCTATGTAAAACATGATTACTGATCAGCAGTTCTTTGCATACATGTTTTCTTTTATTATTTGAGAATTTTATGCATGTATACAATAAGTTTTTTTTTTAAATATCAAATCTATTCCTCCTGCCTCCTTCCAATGTCTCCCATACTTCCTCATCACTTTTCACTTCCAACTTCATTTACTATTTTTTTAAACTTGTGGGTCCATTTAGTGATGCCAGTATGTGTGGGGGTTGGGCCATCCACTGGAGTGTGGGGGATGTTGCACATCGTAACTCACAGCGGCCGTGGCTGCATACATAGGACCCATGCAAGATCAAGCCGTCTAAATTTCCAGCATGAAGTGTGTGTGTGTGTGTGTGTGTGTGTGTGTGTGTGTGTGTGTGTGTGTGTGTGCTCACCAAGTCCCACTCATAGCTGAAGAGCTATTGGCTGTTGATAGCTTCTAGAGACAGAACAGTCAGTTCTCTTTGCCATTCTCTTTACCTAGAATGCCCTTCTCCTTCATCCTAATTCAATGAAACTACCTTTCATGTAAGAACCTCCTCAACTGTCCCCAGCTTCATGAATTGTAGGCTTACTTCATCTTGGTTTTTATCTGTGGCCCCGCTGACTAGAACTGATCTGGATTTCTTCCCAATCTTTCCACACATCCTTCTGTCATCTTTGAATTTTTTTTTCTTAATTTTAACCACGTTCTTTGTTTCCCATCATCATCTGTCCCTTTGTCCTTGCCTCCACTGTATTGGAATAGACTACTGGCACTTTCTCCAATGACCTGGGCCCTGGTCCTCATATCTTTGTGCAAATCCATTCTCTGGCCTTGAATAGCCTTTGCAGCCTCTAACTCTGTAGGCATCTTTCCGTGGTCCTATCAATCAGAGTGTGGTAGTTTTGTCAGCCATTGAATGCCCAACATCTAATGCAGTGATTGACATACAAGATAACTGTAATAAATATTGGTTGCAGTCATGCTCTACTTCCAGGGATTGCTACCTGGCATTTTATCAGAAAGGGTAGAGATACTGAGATGAATCTCTGTTCCTTTGACTACCATAGTTGAATTTCTTTTCTTGAGGATTTCCTTTCAAATATGTATTTGTCTGTTAAAGCACTCCACCTTTATTAATGAGAAAAAATGTGCTAAAACATTGTGTCCTTTTTAGTTCAACATTTGTTTTTAATATATTTAATTATGTGTAGATGTGTATGTGTGTGTGTGTGTGTGTGTGTGTGTGTGTGTGTGTGTGTGTGTGTGTATGCATGTGGGTGGGTGGGCATGTGGGCATGTGTGTGCAGGTGCTACCAGAGGCTAGAGGCTTTGGATCTCCTGAAACTCAAGTTATAGATGGTTGTGAGTTGCCTGATGTGGGTGCTGGGAACTGAACTTGGGCCTTCTGGAAAAGCAGCAAGTGGTTTTAACCACTGAGCCATCTCTCCTAAACATTGGGTTCCTCTTTAAAAAGTAATTTTGATTGACAAATAATTTTATGCTTATGATGTACAACATAATGCTTTTTCTTTTTTCTTTCCAGAGCTGAGGACCGAACCCAGGGCCTTGCGCTTGCTAGGCAAGCACTCTACCACTGAGCTAAATCCCCAACCCCACAACATAATGTTTTTAAGAGTCTGGTTCTTATTAGGTATATGGCCTTGAACTGCTTTCTTAATTATCCATGCCTCAATTCCCCCTCACTCCCGTGTGTGTGTGTGTGTGTGTGTGTGTTTCAGATAGTCTCACTATGTAGATCATAGTAGTCTGAACTTGTAGCAATCCTCATGCCTCTGCTAAGTCCAGTTTTCTCATTTTAAAGAGGGTGTGACAAGAGCGCGTCTTTCCTAAGGTTGTAGTCAGAGTTAAATGAGATGTTTCTACTCTCTGGAATATTTGCTCTCCAGATTTTTTTCCCTGCCCTCACATCCAAGACATAGTTCAAACGGCCAGACCTCAGAGGCCTGGTCCCTTCCCAGTTTCCCATGTCACTTTGTTTGAAGTTCTTCATAGCATTTGTCACTATCTGAATTTATCTTTATTTACTTATTTGCTTACTAGCTACGTGACCTCAATTTCGGAGTCCCTTTCTTCTCACTCCCATTTCCTTGGTAGCCAGAGCCAGGTCTGCATGGAACTTCACTGAATAATAAATAGTTGTTGACTCATTCACTTCCTCTTGTGGCTCCGAGCCTTGGAGAAAGCTAATGGACAGCCACACTTTGAGGCTGCTTTCTGACAGTTTATATGTTGGGGGTAGGAGGGCTTTTTATCAAAGTACTGTAAGTTTATGATCCAGCTTAGCCTTGGGAACCCAGCCTGGGACCATTGGAACGTGACTTGTCTGCTTCCCAGAATCACTGGAGACTTGAAGATAACCAGCTTATCCTTTCTGTACATAAAAAGTGGTATAGCTGGAGATCAAACGAGGGAGACTTAGTGCTAAGCTCGTCGGTGGTAAACAGAGACGGGAAGTGGGGATCCAGAGGAAGAGAGTCTCCTGGGAAAGGCTTTGGAGAGGAACCTGAAGGGGTGGGAAATCATCCTAGAGAGAAAAACCCAGGCACTGATGTCGCCAAATATGTACATCAACTCCTGGTCCATAGATAAAAAGAGATACATGTTTATAAAGCAAAACCATCCAACTGATACTTTAATGCCATCCGAATTTTATTTTATTTTTTTTTAAAAGATACAAAAATAGTAAAAAAAGAAAGTTGTAATCAGGTATATATGAATTGGCCCTTCACAAAATTCCCCTAAAAAAAGCCATAATGGCACTTATTTGACTGACAGTAGAAAATGCTACAGACTAATTCTAGAAACAGAGTTTTCAGAAAGCCCCCAAATCTGGGCACTACATGGGTTTCCTCATATCATCTGAGTGAACACATTAGTCCCCAGAAATATCAGTGGAGTCAGACGACTACACAAGATGGGCCCCCAAAGACTCTGCCCCATGATGTGGGGCTTACATGCTCTGTTGATTGAAGACAGAAGGTGGGCAGCTGCAGTTGGATCCCTGGCTAGGCTCTGGCAAGCTGAACACCTGGTAGCTCGTCTCATTCTTCGGGGCCGCAGCCATGTTGTTGTTGGCAGCATTCACGGAGTGGGGCTTAGTGAGCCAAGGGGACCGTCGAGGGGCAGCGCATGACACGGGGATCACATATCTAGAAGGTGTGGCCTTGGAGATATAGTGAATCTCAGAGCTGTAGATAACTACATCTGGAGAGATGGCCTTGATGCGGATGCCACATTCTGTAACGCGGTAGGTAAACTCGTAGAAGTGTGGGTAAACATGGTTGGGAGGACAGCCCAGGCCCAAATGCACCTCATAAAAATGCACGTAGACATCACTATTCAGCAGGAAGGGGTGAACCGTGACCATGAACCAATCTGTCGAGCAGAGGACATTCACTTGGTTTTGTTCAGAGTAGCTGGAGACCATGAAGGTGAAGAAGACCATTGCTCCCAGGAAGCTGAAGAATTTCATTCTTGCAGTCGGTTGGGTCACCACTCACAGGAGGCAAGAAGGCGTCCAAAAAGGAATTCTAGAACACATCAAAATACAAGAGGCGAGTTACCATACGGCTTATGTAAAGTTCAAGGATAAGTTTTTGAAGCAAGAACACAGAGAAGAGGGAAACTTCCACGTGAGGCAGAAGTAAATTTTATAATTTCATTGAAGGAACTTGCATGTGAAATATAACTAACATGGCTTCTTGGGAGTCTACTTATTTATTTATTTAATTATTTATTTATTTGATGGTGCTCTACCTCTGAGCTACATGGGCCTGGAATGGTGGCACATGGCTTCTTTAAGTGGCTTTCTCATGCTGCTCTGGTATAAAACATGTATTCCTCCCTCCTGTGTAGCATGAGAATCTGCACTGATCAGGATTGGTATCCCATTTGTGTAAGGCCAGCATGAAACCCAAACAAAACAGCTTTCATGTTAAAAATTAAATCAGGCATGGGAAATAAGTTTCATTTAAACTAGCAACCTAGTCTACCTGAATGGTTGTGATGTCCTCACATAGGTTATCCCAACGAGCCCTTCCTCATGACCTTCTTTCTTAGTAAACAAACTGAATTTTAAAAGTGAAGACGACGCTTGGTGAGATTCACTGGGTAAAGGTACTTGCTGGCAAACGGGATGACCCGAGTTCAATTCCTGGAACTCACATGGTGGAAGGAGAGACTCCTTAAAGCTGTCTTCTGCCCCCTCTGCCCTCCCATACATTCACTGTGGCAAACACACACCTCCCCATAATGAAATATAAAGTGCTTTAAAAAATGAAGGAGAGATTGCATTTTATCCCTGACAACCACATATTGAAATTTGACTGAATGGCTCAACAAAATATGACCAAAAGAATTCAGCCGGTACTCTGTCAGCAGTGATGTAACTCATGATGACCAAACGATTCTCTGATACAGTGGGATGTGTTGCAAATCAGAGAAATTTTGGGAAGGGGGAGGAGAGAAAACAGCTGGAGCTACATAGTGAGACTTTCTCAAAATAGAAAAATAAAACCAAAAACAAACAAACAAAAAACAAACAAACAAACAAAAAAAAACAACATTCTGAGCCAGGTGTGGTGGCTTACACTGAAATCCTAACACTACTGAGGTAGAGGCAGAAGGATTGCCACAAGTTCAAGGCCAGCTTATACTACAGAACAAGACCCCCTCTCAAAAAAATAACCCTCCGGCCGGGCGGTGGTGGCATATTCCTTTAATCCTAACACTTGGGAGGCAGAGCCAGGTAGATTTTTGTGAGTTCGAGGCCAGCCTGGCCTATAGAACGAGATCCAGAACAGGCACCAAAACTACATGGGGAAACCCTGTTTCAAAAGACCAAAAAATACCCCTCCAATCATGCTGGTCTTAATTTTACATTTTAAAATGCATACTGCATACTTACAAGAAGTCCTATATTTAAAAGAACTTATTTTGTTTATACTTTCTGTTTAGATCGACCAACTAGCTCCTAAAATCTTTGCTTCGGATTCATTTGTGCTTGCTGGCTTTGGGGTTCTTTTTGCTTTTTGCCCTTGAAAGAGTAGTAGACACAGTGGCAGGAGACAAGAACAAAGCTAAGAAGAACTGTCTGGAACAGCAGAGCGAGGCAACAAGGAGAGCGAAGGACGTCATCAAATATGGGTCAATTCAGCTTTCACGTGAAATGTGGAAAACCGCAAGGGCCTCCAACTTGGAAGGGAATGCGTGTGCATAAGTGTAGGGATTAACTTTTGTTCCCTGCTAAGTATTCCCCATATAGGTGATCTCATCTTCTGAGTAATATTTATTGAGTGCCTACTATACTCATAGCATCAGCCTAAAAAGCCCCCCTAAGACCTTCCCTTTTCCCATCTGTAAACAGGCAGCTCTTTCTCTGCTTTTGCTCTTGCCAGATTTGTGGAATTCGTGAGTGGAAAGCGCAGTGTGGAGGCCCACTCGAGGGGTGCACTGTCCTGGACCAAGTGCTTTGTTTCTGATGCTCGCTCCCACTGTCTTTCCTCTCTTCTTAATGACTCTCCATTCTCTCTGTGGTGTTGCGGGGGTGTAAAAAGAAGCCACAGGCGACTTGGTTCTGCTCTTTCTTTATTCTGAAGTGTCACTGCTGGGGCTGGCTGGTTTTCCCCCCATAGGGTAACAATAGAGACAGCAGCAGCAGCAGCAGCAGCAACACACACACACACACACACACACGGGGAGGAGAGAGAGAGAGAGAGAGAGAGAGAGAGAGAGAGAGAGAGAGAGAAGAGAGAGAGAGTCACTCCATTACTGTCGCTTTATTGGCTGTGCCTAAAGAAAGGCCCTTGTCCTACTGCGCTTTGGAATGGCTTTCTCTCCCATCCCTCCCTCCCTTTGTTCTACCCCCCCTCCCCTTGTGTCCCTCTCCTTTCCTTAGCGCGATCTCACAACCTGGGACCATCTGCCTGAACAAAACCCTTCTCATTAGGCAGTTTCTGGAATAGGTCAAGGAAACAATTCTTTCGTCCCATTTTTGTTCTCAAGCCCCAAACTGAAGTTCCAGTTGAAGGCTATTCTGGTCCAGGAGTTAAGCCATCCATTTCCTCTCCCTTTCCCAGGCATCCTTCATGTAATACCCCCTCTCCCTTTCTCTCATGAATAATCCAAATAAAGTTACCAAATGCCTACATTCTCCAAGAAACAAGAGAATTGGTCCCCAGGCAGCCATTTCAGGCTATCTTCTTGCTCCCTACCCATTTTTCAAGTTCTACCACTCGGATTCAGTCTGGAAAAGGGGGTTGGTGACGCCACTGTTTCAGCAATCACTTAGTACAAATCTCCAAACTTGGACAAGATAGAACCCATTCCCTCCAGTTTTCTTAGAGCCATGTAATCGAAGCAATAAATAAAGATGCTTATGTATGTGACAATATTCCTCCGGCCTTAGAAAAAACTTTAATGAAAGTCAGTGAAAACCATGCTCGAGGTCCCATAGCTCCGAGGGAGAAGGGAAAGGCTAGAGATTAGGAGGAGAGCAGAATGTACTTGATAATGAGCTTGCTAAATTGGAGCCCAATACTTCAAGGCTGTATTTTAGGGCTGGCTCCCTTTTGCTGAAGACACATCATCAAAAATACAGCAGCCTCCTTTCCCCAGCTGCCTGCTCTTTGCAGAGACAGGGAGAAGGGTGTGCATGCATACCCATGCTGTGGACAGGGGGAAGAGTGTGCATGCATACCCATGCTGCGGACAGGGAGAAGGGTGTGCACGCATACCCATGCTGCGCTCATTTGTGCCAGGGAATGACTAGAAGTCATTCACCAAACAGTGTGAATTCATCACAGGAGCTGGCTTTCCTAACACCTAACTGAGATGGGCTGGTAGCATAGGATCTACTAGAGCAGGGACGGGGAAGACTTGAGTTACAGGGGCCGAAGGCAGCTGAATGGCTAAGAAGGGAAGTGGTAGACTGTATAGTAGGTTCCAGGCTGAAGTATTTCCAGCTCTAGTTGGAACTGCACAGCAGTCCAGAAGATGTGGGATGTGAACAGAATTGAAGCTAAACTCTCCAGAAATCTTCAGTGCTGAGGGGCAGTTGGAGACCCAGGAGGAGGGAAATACAAAGACAGGCGCGCTCACCTTGTAACTACCGTCCAGCTTCTGGCAGGCGGGCTTAGAAAACAGGTTTTAGAGTATGGATTACAGGGACCCCATTTGGCCTTGACTGCAGATTTTCTCTGCGGTGAACTGAAATTCATTGGTTTAACCAAACAGGGCTCAGCTATGGAACACACCGTCCTGAACTCAGCTACAGACCAGCCAGGCAAACTCTTCTAACACCTGGATGCAAAATGTTTGTTTTCCTTGCAGTTACTGAGTACAAGGAGCTTTCTGTTTTCTTAAATGTGGTTTATGCATATACATTTCCCACTACTTTCAACAAAAATTTTCCTTCTTTTCCTTTCCTCTACCCAAGATCTCCCATAGTTGGACTAATCATTGATTTATCTTTTCCATTAAAAATTCACGAGATCACTGCGAGGGAGACGGCTCAGTGGGTAACGCTTGCATGGCAAGCTTGAGGACCCGATCTCCAGAAGGCAGATTCAAAAGCTGCCTCTAATCCTAGGGGGCAGGAAGCAGAGCCAGGGAATCCATGGAGCAAGCTGAAAGCCAGACCAGACAAAATGGCAACCTTGGGGTGCAGTGAGAGATTACAAATGTGTGCTACCATGTCCAGATTTCTACAGGGAATGGCTGAAAATGCTGTTTATGAAGTCCAGCACCCATATATTTAAAGTGGTGAACAAGAATTTGAATAATAAAATGGATATAGTCGTCTCTCACTATCTATGGAGGGCTGGTTCCAGGAGCCTGTGGGAATGCCCAAATCTGCAGATGCTCAGCTTTCTTATATAAAACAGCATACAACGTAGCCCACCCTCCAGTACACTGTAACTCATCTCTAGCTTGCTTTTAATACCTGGTACATGTAAGTGCTATGAAAATAGTTGTTAGGTTATACTGTTGGGGAATAATGACAAAAAGTCCCTACATATTCAGTACAGAGCCAATATTTTTCCTCAAATATTATCAATCTGTGAATGTCCCCATGGAATGAAAAGGACATATTTATATATTTGGAATAATTTATGGGGAATAATGTGATATTATGACATAGTTGGCCCAAATTATTTACTGTATCTATCACTTTATATTCTTCTGAAACAGTGGTCCTCAACCTGTGGGTCGAGACCCCTTTGGGGAACAAGTGACACTTTCACAAGTGTCACCTAAGACCATCGGCACATCAGCTATTTACATTACCATTCGTAACAGCAGCAAACTTACAGCTATGAAGCAGCAATGGATAATTTTATGGTTGGGGATCACCACAACATGAAGACCATATTAAGGGGTTGCAGCATTAGAAAAGTTGAGAACTAATGTTCTAAAAGTTAAAAATAGAACCTGGGGTGAGCAGGAAAGATGAGGCATTGGTTAAAGGCAGCAGAGCTTCCTTGAGACTGGAATAATACGAGTGTTGCTTGGTTCTGCAATTACAGAACAT